GGGCCCCTGTGGCGCCAATCCGGGCGACGTGAACCTCTTTGATGTCTTTTTCTTCATCAAGGGGGGGGGGGGTTTGAACCGCTATTTGTCTGATCCGTCGCCTAGGACCTATTTGCCTTGGGAGACCCTACCAGGGGCGTTAAGCCCCCGACAACATAGCTTCTAGGTTCATTCGGATACTCAAACCCCTCCACCACGTTAAGGTTGCGATTCAAGGAGGGGAATATTTGACCAGTTAACACTAATTAATCTGCATGTTTTCTGACCGCTGGACTGAAACCAGAAAACTTAGAAAAACTCATGTACACACTGTGAGAACAACTCCATACAGAACGACCATGGTTCTAGCTAATGATCTTCTTGCTGTAGGGCAAGAGTATTAACCACTCTATCACTGTGTGACACATTTTTTATCTCAAATGGATTCTTAGACAACTGTGCTCTCCATATTAAGTATATTTATACCACTGACTTTCTAACCTAATTAACCTGCTCTAACTTTTCTTTTCTATGCTTAAAAGCTGGTTTAGATTTGTGAATACAAACACGTGAAGTGGAGTCAAGTCAGTTCTACTTGTTTTGCCCAAATTCACAAAATACATTTCAGCTCAATGAAACTCAGAGGTTTGTAAATGTAAATAAAAAAAACACATGTATACAGGCAACTAAAATAATATGTAATATTTGAAGTCATAATTAACAAGGTAGGTTAAACGTTTTGCAGTTGTTACACTGTACAAAAACCTAAAAACTAGATCAACCATGTGAGTCCTGGTTCTGTGAATTAACATCTCTTTCCAGTCACTTACTTCTTATTGCTGCTCATCTCTGCAGGTGATGAAACTCTTCGCTGACTGAGCTGAGCAGAGATTGGCCACAGATGACTGGAGCTGCGGCTAATGTTTTTGCTGAAATAGTTAAACATCTATAGGTCATCTATCTGCTTTTCACAGCTTTTCAAAACCAAAAAGTCCGACAGGAAGAAGAAAGCTATATCCTGCCACATCTTGGATAGCTTACCTCAGTTATGCACCATTGGAATATACACAAATCTACCCTAGTGCTATGTCAACGTTTCCGCGTACTTAACCAAACAATGGCCAACTTAATCATACGAAGCACTCTGTTCGGCTTCCAAGAATATATGAGAGGTACACAAAATGCTTCTGGATGTATTCCAGGTTCCAAGTCCCAAGGGCAGAAATATTGAATTAATTTTAAATTAATTAAAAACAATTAAAAAAGAAACTCCAATAAACTCCATAAAATAATTCTGGAGAGAATATAACTTTGCGCTTAGAAGTTTCTGGAAACTTACCGCTGTCTCTTCAAACTTTTGCTCTCTGCGCCTACTGGCTCCTGTCACCAGCCCTGTGGTGGAGTATAGTGGTGGGCGGATCGATACCAAGTCAGTATCAGATCAGATCGATACTAGCCTGGTGAGATCGATTCTTTACCTTAAGTTTAAAGGGGAAACAAATAAATTTATAGCCATATCTGACATTTGTGTTCAGGGTGGTAGAACATTATTATACACATCAAATCTCAATAAATACGTGCTTCTGACTCTATTTAGAGTGTTAGCACATTACTATAGACATGAAATCGCTATAAATACATGCTTCTCACTGTATTCAGAGCGGTAGCACATTACTACAGACATGAAATCGCTATAAATACATGCTTCTCACTGTATTCAGAGCGGTAGCACATTACTACAGACATGAAATCGCTATAAATACATGCTTCTCACTGTATTCAGAGCGGTAGCACATTACTACAGACATGAAATCGCTATAAATACATGCTTCTCACTGTATTCAGAGTGGTAGCACATTACTATAGACATGAAATCTCTATAAATACATACTTCTCACTGTATTTAGAGTGGTAGCACATTATTTGAGGCTACACAGAAAATCCCTTTTAATATACCTGTTCTCTCAGGGTTTCGGGTAGCACTTTATTTATGTTCTTTACATTTACATCTGAAACCAGAGGGAATGTAAAAATGTTACCCAATGCAGCACATACAGTAAAAGAGAAAATAAACACGCTCAATCTAGGACTTTTCAGCAAACTGTTTATTATTTTTATTTTTACAAATAGTAACAGAAAGGATCATAATATATAGTACAGAATATTTGGGTTGATTTTACATGAGTTTTATTTAGCTATTTTCCAGTAAGATACAGGCTTTGTGCATCATTTGTTCACTGGCATCTTCTGGAGCTGTCTGCACATCAGATATGTTTCCAGTCAGAAGGAATTCTTCGGTGTACTATAAGTGAAATATGAATGTAATTATGTGCTTGATTTGGTACATTATCTACATAATAACACGTTCTTCTAGATACATAATCTTTACAATTAAATACTATTAGCTTAATCTTCAAAGTACATAAACGTAAACTTGTAGCGAAATAGTACCTTCAACACTAGAACCCCACAACTGCTGAAATCCATCTCTGTGTTGTGGTCCATGGTGTGCACTGTCCACACATATTTGGATTCCTCCCTTGACCTGTTCCTCAGGAAGTTTCTATTACAGCATTAAAATTATTGTTTTAAAACTTTTTTTCTCTCTTGAAAAAAATGTATCTATGCAAATTATTCTATATATTACTGCCAGTTCCTCAGGATCTTCCTGTTGCAGGCATCCTCATTTCCCATTGGGTCAATTACAGTGATTACTGCCATGTTCACAACCTTAAGTAAAGTAATTTCATATTTCATATCAATAAACAGGCTGTATAAGAACTTCCTTTACTATGCTTAATGGTTACTCTACAGAGTCTTGCACAGCCTGCTTAATTTGTTCCAGCCGAGACTTTTTTAAATGTCCACATAACAAAAGAGAAAATCTGTCAAAGTACCGAGTCATCAGAAATCAAATACTTTGGAAACAGACCACAAGAATCCAATGTGCAGTAACATACACAGGACACAGCCAAACACTCTCTGCTGGGAACTTCATCTGTAACAGATAATATAGAAATATGTACATTAATAAATTGTTAGACTTATTTTAATAGGTACTTAATAGGTACATCGCCTTATGGAGACTTTTAAACTGCCCAT